CAAAGAAATCAGTGCAAAACTTTCGGAGATTAGCCGTTTTGAACAAACTACCAATTATATTTTTATTTACATATTATTTCATATTTTTATTTATTGATAACACTAAAGCTCGTCAATATCTATTAAACAAAAAAAGAAGGAAGAAAATCAATTGAATAATTGTGGAGTAAAAGGGGCTGAACCGTTTTGTGTTTGCCTATTTATATAATGATTAATAGCAACAATTAAATATAGTATATTTCTTTTCAAAAAAAAAAAAAATTGAAATATAAAAAACAAAAACAAAACCTTATTATAATATCTGATGTGCCCAAGAATTCTTATAATTGTATTTATGCTTTTACCGTTGATTAGATTTTTAATAAATAATAGACTATAATAAATAGCGTAATATTTAGTAGTTACTGGATTCCCATCCTAGAGATGCGGCTGAGAGAGAAGCGCTGGGATCTCTTGGAGTCTTGCCTTGTCCTCCACACGTGGGGGAAAAGGCCCGACTCGGAGCTCCCTTGGCTGACTGTAAATATTGTAAATAAGTTTGAATTTGTTTTTATTTATTATTTATTTATTTATTTTATTTTAGTTTTTATTTAATGTTATATCAGTTTGATTTATTCTGTTACTCCAAGTTTTATTTTATTTTATTTTCTTATAATCTTGTTGTTCTTTTATTGTATATATGGTATATATGAATGTACTTCATTCATCATAAATACTCAATGCCCTTAATTGAGGCAAAATGTATTTTTTTTTCTCAATAAAAAAAAATTCGATTTGTTTACGATCCAAAAAAAAAAAAAAATATATATATTTAGTAGTATATATTTTAATTTTTATCAACGTGATGATATGTGCTGACTCTCTCATGGTAATATTTTTTTTTCTTCCTCTATAGTGCCTTTTCGGCTATACGTGTTTTTTTCCCAGACTAGGTAAGAGGGCGGAGAATTAATGACAGAGTTAAAAGCCCCCAGTAACGGGATTCGAACTAGTAATATTCAGTTTATCAGTTTGATATAATGGTAACCGTACCACCTGTAAGGCTATTGGGTAGAATTACGGCTTATCTAGAAAATGGCCAAAAAATTTTAGGCCGAGCCCCATTCAGATGATAACTGTTCGAAATTTTTAAAACCTGACTTGCCACGTCTCGATCCACCAATTTACTAACTTCAGTATATCGATATCACTTCCATTTTTCAATCGTTTTTAATAAAGCTGTAGGAGCAATTGGAATTCTTCACTTCTCCATAAAAATCTTTTTTTTTTTTTCCTTTAGTTTGTCGAAATAAATTACTCCTGAGAGTCGAGAAATATATACGCGATAAAAAAAAACAATGTGAACATTAATACACCACGGACCTCTATATTAAAATGCTGGCCAAAAAGACTTTTGACATTAAACAGATAAAAAATATTAATAAATGTAAATATAATAAAATCATATCAGGACATTAAGGTAGTTAAAATATTTGAGATATCTCATAAACTACAAGGGAGGAGACGGATATAGGACAAAAAGTGGAGAAATAATGCTAGACAAAAAGATATAACCAGAAGAACATCTCAAGAAAGGCTAAAATGAGCCACCATAAGACGGTAGTAGAACCGTTGTCATTGTGAGGCGCGGAGTATTTATATTTATTTATATTATTATTTATTGAACACGTTACTTTATGTATTTTTTATGAATTAGGTTAGAAAGGGAGAGGAAAGTATATGAGGAGTGGGAAGATGTATAAAGGCAGAGAAGGAGGAGAAAGGGTATAGAATGATAATAAATGAATGAAAGAAATAGTAAAAAGAAAAAAAGAAAAAGAAAAAAAATATATTTATGTATAAAAAATATTGTATACTATGCTCATACATATTGTTAATCCTATATAGTCCTATATTAATTTTAAAAAATGTCTGTAGTGATTAATAAGTATGCTGTGTTGTTGCAGCACCATTTTATTTTATGATAACAAAGTGATTCTCTCTCTCTTTTATCAACATAGAGAGACTGCTGAAAATAGAGAGAGTTACCGAGGTGTATCCAAAAGCCAAAGGAAATGGAAGAAGAATACTGCCAAAAAAAAAAAAAATAAATAAATAACATCGAACTATGCCAATACATTGAAGATTTAGATAGATGTCTAAGAAGAAAAGGTTGAAGTTTTACGGTCTTGTGGTGGAGGGAATTAAGGAAGGAAGGAAGGAAGGAGTTGAACGGAAGAGAGAAGAGATGCTGAAATAAAGATGACGTGCAGAAAAAAGGAAAGACAAGAAGTGATATAGGCGTGGTTTATATAGCGATAATTAGATAAATAATAGAATATCAAATATATAATGATCTGAAAAAAATAAAATCTTATATCCTCTAATTAAGTTCTATAATATTAATAATTATATAATTAATTGCAGATTTAAAATTAAATTTAGATGGAAAAATATATTTCTTTTAAGGTACGCGATTTCCTCCACTATATAAGCGGAGGAGATCGGTTTTCATACAGGCTATAAATGATTGAAATTTGACTATCGAAAACAAACAAATTAAATAAATGAACAACACATTTGTAAAAAAAAAAAAAAATATTAAAGGAAAGTCGCCATACAGGTACTATACAGTATATGAACATTAATGTTCTTTAATTAGTAGTTTTTATTTCACAAAGAGATATTAAGGGCGTGAGGTCACCGTTCCATGAAACTTCTTTTGTTGATACTAGGTCGAAAAATATTAGATCCATGTCAGAGGTTCTTGAGAAAAAATGATCATTTAGTTTCAACATTTTTTAATATCATTGTTTCTTTTGATCTTCATAAATTTCTAGATTATAATATATCAACCGATTGGTTAAAAAAAATTCTGATTATATTAAATGAAATAGTAAGTAAATTTTAGCTTTGATATGAATGAATGAATGATTTATTGTTTATAAATGTCAACTTACAGCAAGGAGTAGATTATTTAACAATTCAATATATATTATGATAATAAGCCGAAAATTTCACCCCAATAGTAGGAAATGGAAGAAAAATCATTTCCGAGAGTAGAAAAATTCAAATATCTCAGCTCCAGGCCAGCGTACAAATACCGCATACAGGTATTGAAATATAGAAAAATCTCAAATTAAGGATGTACAATGCTGTGATCAAATGAGTTCAAATATATAGCTGTGAGACGTGGGGAGTAACCCAGTGCCCTAGAAGAGAGTGTTGACAATTTTAAGAGAAAAATCCTCAGCACGATAACCGGAGCGATCTGGGATCAGAGTACTAACACACATAATAGAAAGACCAATTAAGAACTGCTTACAGAAATTGGTCAATCAATATCCCATGATAAGAAGGCACGGAGGTTAAGATGGGCGGGGCTCTACGTAACAATGAATGTCTCAATAGACGGAAAAGTACCACGTGGAAGGGCCAAAAAGCAGATGGACAGATACAACCAACAAAGATACTATAGAGCTTCGTGCAGATAAATGGAAAGAAATAGCCCAAGACAGACAGAGATGGAGCAGGCTTGTTTAGGCGGCAAAAGATCTATATGGTTTATAAGGTTCTGAGGTTAGGTAGGTACCGTTTCATATAGTTTATAAGACCTTAAATTCCCTGTTGAGTTTCAAATATTTTTGTTGATGAAGTTATCACATCTTTTAGGATTTACTTAAAATATATATATATATATATATATATATATATATATATATATATATATATATATATATATATATAATATATATATATATATATCGTTCACTGAAAAAAATAGCTGAGAAAACTGGACTTAAAATCTCCTTCAAGAAAACTAAATTTATGACCACAAATCCCAACCTTAGGAAGACAGAAATAAAAACAGAATTCGGTAAAATCAAGGTGGTTAAAAGCTTTAAATGCCTGGACGAAATAATCAGCAGAAATTTATCGGAAAAAGAAAGCATGGAATATAGGATTAAAAATTTGGAGAAATTATGCTACTTAACAAGTAGCATTTATAATAAAAAATGCATCTCCAAAAAATCCAAAATCAGGCACTAAAATACAGTGGTAAAGCCAGTGATACTGTGAGACAATGTTCTTTCCCAGTTTGGAGAAACTGCTGAAAATAGAAAGAAGGATTTTTAGAAGAATCCATGGGCCCAAAATAACACCAGAAGGTTACAGACTGAAATCCAATAAGGAGATTTACAGTGAAACCTCTGATTTGGAAACGGAAATGAGGGTAAGAAGACTTAGGTTTTATGGACACATGCAAAAGATGACCGAGGAGAGGTTAAACAAGAAGATTTTCAGTAGGGTTATGGGATACAAGTTTAACCATGGATATATGGTGAAAATAAAAAAGGAAATAAAGAGGCTTGGGATAACACGGGAATTATGTGAGAATAGGACAGAATACAAGAAATTCCTGCGGTGCATGTGGTGGACAGTAAGGAACTTCCGTCAAGGTGGAAATGGACGGAGGAGAGGAAGAAAAAATTTAGCGATATCCTCAAGCAGAGATGGACAGAAAGGAAGAAATTGAAAAATAAACCAGTATCATAGTCGCGTAGTCCTTCAGGGCTGTTTCGCGTCAAATAATAAATAAATATATATATCGAATGCCCTATAAAAAAAGGGAATTTTCAGAAATTTTTTTTTCCAATTGCCATGAAAATTATTATTTAAGGGTTTAAATTTATAAGGGGTTAAATTTAAGTTCTAAGGTGCGAAAAAAGGATACAAATTTTGTTTCTCCAAAAAAAAATAAATGCAGTGGTATCCCGATGACAAAATGTACAACTCATGCATAATTCTAGTTTTTTTGATTGGGATAACCTCAAATTCGACATGACGATATACTTGAATATAGATTTATATTAAATTTCAAATTAAATGCAGTACTGCACCTCTCTGCCATTGGAGGGGTCGCACACGAAACAAGCAAGGACAACCCCACCCAGTGAAAGGCAAGCAGCCCTTGCTTCAGTATAAAAGAGTTGGAGGGTCCCGGTTAGGGCAGACTGTAACCCAGTACCAACACAGCAAACATGTACAAGGTAAGTCGGCCATCAGGAGTCTTCTCATTGGTGAATTCCGACGTGAACAGTTTAGTGCATTCTATAGTTCGTTAATGTGTCGTCTCTTCCAGTCTTCAGCATATCCTGATTTTATTATAATATTATTTATTTCAAAATATTCACTAAGTTATAATATATATTTTTTTATTATGCAAAAATATATATATATAATTTAAAAAAATCAGGGAAATTATTAATTTTGGTTCATTATATCCAAATATTAATGTATGAAATATGTGCGACGTTTCATACTACTTTTCTTCCCACTTTGGGAGAAAATTAAATATAAAAATTGTTGCCTTTATAATTTTATTTTTTTATTTAATTTTTTTATTAAAAATATAGAGAATTGAATTGTTCTTAAAGTGACAATCTTGTGTGCTTTCGTTTTTGTAATTTTTTTCGAATTATTAAAAATCAAAACATAGAAGATCGGCTTAGTATTAGAACATAAATATAGATTTCTAAACTTCTGACTGATCTGTATATCCGATTTCAGTGTTTTTTACAGTTATTTTTAGACAATTTAAAATAAAAAAAAAAATATTCTTTTTCAGTAATTCGTATATATTAGTCAGCATTTATCGTGATTTTTTCAGCTTCTTTTGGGGAAAAGTATGTGATTTAAATAAATTTTAAATTAGACTTTTACGCGCTACAGTCAATATAAAAACATATTTTTTGGCCGTTATTTTGAAATGGAACTTAATAAAATTCTTTTTATTTATATATTTTTAGAATGTAATGCTCATTTCCCACAGAAAAAAATCAAAATTTTTTATTTTAACATATAAAAAATTGCAACGATATGTAATTTTATCTGCTAGAATCTCATTTCCTTACCCAGCAGAGCGAATCGTGCAATTTTTTTTAGTATTATGTTTTGGCTGAAATTTAACTTTTATTAATGTATATTTTAATAAGGTTGCATTTATTATTTTTAAATTATTAATAAAAGACTAATGATCAGACGTTGGTGGTCTCTTCAAGATCGGTGGCGCATGTCCGGTATACAAGAAATGTTATTATTATTCTCTTCTTAAAAACAGTGCACGTAAAAGTAGAATTGAAAAATTGTATATCATACTCAACTATAATTGCTGTGTATGTTCTATGTTTTTCCTCCTAGTCTCCTAGTTTGAAAGTACTTCCAAATTTAATATCAGAAAAATTCATTCAAAATTCATAACCACATTAAAATTTAAAATCTCATAAAAATGTGTCAAAAATGTTTACGGCACTACTTGCGCCTTGAAACTCCTTTTGGGCACCACTGGTTATTTTTATGATACAATACAACTGGTAAACGTGCAATAATATTATAAAATAAGATATTAACTTGTGAAGGAACTACACTATATTTACCTTTATTAAATTGACTTAAATTATTACATAGTCTATATAGTAATAACCTCAAACGAAAAATTATGAACTTTGATTTTTGGCGTTACTGAACAAAATTTATGATATTTTCTGTACGAGAATGGATGAAAGAAGCACCGGATAATAGAAGAACAATTAACAGACTTTGATGAATTATTGTACTCCAATAGGCTTGTTAACATTTTTCTTTTTTATAACAAATATTGGGAAATTTTAATATCTTCCATTTTACGAATATATTCATTATTCCATTTATCTGATTTGTTTTATGTATTGTGTTCAATATACGGATATTTCTTACAGATACGGGATGCGACATAAAATGATCTGTACATTATTATGTTAGTAATATAATATTAGAATTTTTATTCATGCACTAGGATCGTGGGAATACTTGTTTGGAATAACTGTGCATGCGCTTCTTCATATTGATATACTTCCTTCCACAGTTCTTGATCCTCGCCGCCGCATGTCGGCTTTTTCTTGATCCTTCATCTGACTGAGATAATATAATGTACCACTAACGTTCTTCCATGTCTTCTGCTAGTTCTTGATCCTCGCCGCCGCATGTCGGCTTATTCTTGATCCTTCATCTGACTGAGATAATATAATGTACCACTAACGTTCTTCCATGTCTTCTGCTAGTTCTTGATCCTCGCCGCCGCAGTGGCCTGCGCCAACGCCGGCTACCTGGGAGCCCCCCTGGCCACCACCTACGCCGCCTACGGACACGCCGCCGTCGCCCCAGCAGCCATCACCTCCCAGTCCTCCAACATCCTGAGGAGCTACGGTAACCTCGGCCAGGTGTCCACCTACAGCAAGACCATCGACACCCCATACAGCAGCGTCACCAAGTCCGACGTCAGGGTCTCCAACCCCGGAGTCAGGACCCTCGCCCCCGCCGCTTACGCTCCAGCTTACGCTGCCGCCCCAGTCGCCGCTTACCACGCCGCAGCTCCAGCTTACGCCGCAAGGGCCTACGCCGCACCAGCCCTCGCCGCCCCAGCTTACGCCGCAAGGGCATACGCCGCCCCAGCCGTCGCCGCCCACGGCCTCCTCGGAGTAGCCTACTCCGCCGCCCCCGCTGTCGCCCACGTCTCCTACGACAGCCCCATCGTCCACTACGCTCTCTAAATTGTTTCGACCAACCTATTTCAACCACTATTATTTCCAAAAAGACTTCACACGATAAAGGATCATTCATTCATTCATGAATGATCTTTCATTGTTAATTCTTCATTCTTCTCATCTTCTTCTTCTTTAAGATTGTATATATATCTTCTCTATTTATTGCCTCACTTTTCCTTTCAATAAATGATATTCTATTCAAATAATCTCCATACTTTCTTCTGTTTCCTCAACCATTAGCGGATCCATTATTTAATTCTTCAGCCCGAAAGATTTGTTTTCATATATAAAACGATAATTAATTTGAAAAATAAAAGGAAGAAATGAACTATTTATATTAAATGGTGTTTAAGTGATTCTTGAAGTCCTATTAAATGTAATTACACGAACAATAATACTTTAAGAGATAGTTTTTAATATTTTTCTCTATAAAATATGGTTATATTTTCGGTTTTTTTTTGGGGAGGGGTTTCAGCCCGAATCCCCCCGTAAATCCCCTTGTCCTGAACTATTACTCTAAACTGTAGACTTCATTTTTATCCCTTGTCCTCTTTAATCTCCTGCCCTCCTAGAGTTTCTTTTTCTCCTTATCTCACCGACAGATACTTCGAACTAAACCATAACCATCTCTAATCATATTTTCTACCATGTAAGATATGTCAACGTCATCTGTAAATAATGAACTATTTATTTTAACCCAAACTTTTTGATCAACTATCACAAGCCTTGACAGATTGTGTCAAATCTGTAGGATGAAAATAAATTCCAACAAACCCTATAAAATTAGTACCGTTAAATAAGATATAAACAGTAATTGGGCTTAAATTAATTACATATGATTCTTATTTCTCGTTTGGTTAAGCAGCTTGGTATTTATTTTAAATTATTTTTTAGATCAACTTCTTAGCGAAATCGACGAAAATTTTAAATAAAAGTTCTCTAAAACATTTACTGGAAATGTCGCAAGGCAAAAAGTTGTAGTTTCAAAAGAACTGAAAACTATCAACAATAAAAATTCAACAATAAAACGAAGCATATAAAATTAGTTCCGTTAAATGAGATATAAAAAGGAATCGGGCTTAAATTAAAGTTGTAATATGTCTTAAATTTATTACATATGATTCTTATTTCTCGTTTGTTTGAGTAGCTTGTGATAAAAATAATTATTTAGATCGACTTCTTAGCGAAATCGACAGAGCTTTTAAATAAAAGTTCTCTAAAACATTTACTGGAATTGTCGCAAGGGAAAAAAGTTCTAGTTTCAAAAGAACTGAAAACTATCAACAATAAAAGTTTAGTGGTATCGAAACGTTTAAAAAATAAAAGTTTTTTTTTTTTCGTTTCAAGCCCTGATTTCTGCCATTTGGCAGTTTCTTTATGAATCTTTCCAGGTCACTATAGTTGCCTTTTATTTAATTTAATTTATTTGTTTTTTAATGAACACAGTTGTAAATTAAAAAAACAAAAATGTGCTTCACTTGTAACACTATTCGAGACCAATAATTTTGTGACCATCTTTAGAACTTATATTACAGTACAGATATCTTGAGGTCTATACGCATCTTTGTCTTAAATACCGATTACAAAAAATCCTTTAACTAATTAAATATGTTGATAAATAAAAGAAAAATACGAAATCAATGGCCTGAGAATTATTAAGAAACCATATAAATTAATCACAGTAATATATATATATATATATATATATATATATATATATATATATATATATATATATATATAGATAAATAGATAGATAGATAGAAAAATAACTTTATTCTGGGACACAGTTCCTTTGAGAATAACAAAATAAACAAAATTAAAAGATTACATCTGGCCAAAATAAAATCAATCGAAAAAAAGAAATAATGTAAAGAAAATATAAGGTAAACATTCTATATACAAAACAAACGAAACTATATACATGACAATTAACACTATGACAAGACACTTAAAGCTAGTTGCACTGATAGACCAGTATACACTTTTAAGAAAATAATAAAGAATTAAATATATATATATATATATATATATATATATATATATAAAAAGAAAGAAACTAACTATCTATTTGACATAGTGTTTAAGTTATTCTTGAAGTCCTATTAAATGTAGTTACACCAACAATAATAATTTTATGATTGTTTATAAATCATGAAACAGTATACATTTTACTATGTGAATTCTTAGTATGTGAAGAAACCACATTGATGTGATTAATTTATATGGTTTCATAATAATTCTCAGGCCATTCATGTCGTATTTTTCGTTTATTTATCAATATATATATATATATATATATATATATATATATATATATATATCTTCAATTTAATGATCCTATTTCATAATTGTGAAGTATTGTAAAAAATATTATATTTAGAAATATATGTAAGTGTTTTTACTAACTCAAGACCAGTAGCATCAATAGCATCAATGACTGATTCAGCTCTGAGCTTTATTAAGTTCAATTAAGCCCAGTGACGAGGTAGCCCTTAAATGTCGAGGATCAGTAAAAACCTTCCTCCAGCTTTGTCTGTCTGATGACTCACTCTAATAAATGTAACGCATTAGTCGTGCGGGTCTGCACTTCGCATGGAATCAAACTGAATGGAATGAGTCCGGATGTTTCTCCAGTTAGGAAATGAGGGTCGGTTATCTGGAAGATCTTCAATTCCTTCTGGGTCCAGCCATGATAGGATAATGATAATAATAATAACGATTGAATATGTTTCACCAAAGACTTGGCTCCGTGTTTTCCTGAAGATAACGGGGTTTCCAACACTGGCTTTAAGTAAGATTATGTAAGACTATTGGAGTATACCTTAAATTAATATAAAATGATTTAAATTAAAATAAAAAAAATAGACAAAGATATGTGGCAAGAACTCAATAGAACATTGAGAGCTCCAAAATAATATAATAACCATTTTTGTTTATCTTGGTCTCGAAGATAGCGAAAACTAGAATGAGGCATTATTGTACCTTATTACTTATGCGAATGGTATATTTTTATTTTGAAATAATGGAACAATTGTTCAATCCAATCTCTGAATTCAATAGAAAAAACGTCTTCCAAGTAAGATCAGTATAGTTTTCTCTTGAATAAAACTTGAAAACTTTTACGAACGACATTTGCACTAACAGTAGTGATGTATACTTAATAGGTATGATTTCACTCGTAAAATGGATGGAACGAAAAATCCATAGAAAAAATTCAACTTTTTCTTTGCTCGGAGTTAACGAGACCAATACTTTTCTCCAGTCAGAACAAAACTAATTCAAGCTGGAATATAAAAATATGCGTGAAGTGGACACAATTTTAATATTTAAAGAGAAAATCGAGACCACGACGAGCTGATTGAACTTCAATGCAAATAAACACAATCGCAAATAACTTAAATATATTTTTTTTCAAATTCAGAGTAAAAATTACTTTAAATTTACTGGAAATTTACTGACAATGTATGTCAGTGGAATAACTCTCACTCCATATGATCTGTGCTTTCCACATTTCACAGCCATTATATTGTTAATAATTATTTGTATTAATTTTAATTATTAAATGGAATTGAATGAAATTGATACTAAGTAATTTCAATACTGTTTACGAAATTTCCTCCAAGTTTGGGTCAAATCGAATTGCCGTTTTCAGACTATAGGCAAATCAAATAACACATTTCCTGATCTGAAGACAGTTTTTTTTTTTCAGCTTTAAAAATGATAGATGAAAATACATCAAAACCTACAACGTTCTTTCACCAATCAAAGCTCCTATGATATTTATTTGAAGTAGAGTTCGAATAAATTATGTCACTTTTAAAGGAGCCTGATATAACAAAAAAGGTTTTTAGTACTATAAAAGTTGTATGAGAAGGAATTAGTCGAGGGTGCGGTCAAATAAATAAAAAATTAAAATATATTAATTATTTTAATTTTTGCCGACGTTTCGTTCAAAAGATACAAAACCGTAGGATGTGGCACTGCGGGAGGCAGTTGAAACACTGTCCAGTAATAAAAGTTACAATAATATCTCTATAGTAATAAGCTAATAAGTAACTAACTGCTAGACTGTTGCGAGAGTCTTGCGCAGGACTAAGACTATGACCAAGACTGAGTTTCCAAGACCAAGAATCGTCTCGGTCTCGCATTTTGGCAACACAAGTCTATACCATGGACTATAGCAGTTGGGTTAAAAACAAAATGGGAATGTTGTGAATACTTTCAATTTGATCGTTTCTTCACTTTCAAGACAAATGATGTAATGGTATATTTTCAGTTGCAATCCTCTTCATAATACCCAGACAATTACTATACTAGACTCTCATATAGTAAATTCTATAAACTGGTTATGTTTATCTAATTGAATATAATTACAAACCGCAATCACTAATTGCTGACAGGACCACCCGAACCGAACCCCTTGGACTAGGAGACGACACGAAGAGGAGAGTGTTCAACGACCCCGAGTGTTCGGTCCAGTCTAGGTCAGGGCTGCCCGGCGACCTTGCCACACCTCCTGCCCAGGAGCGTTCGCGATCGCCTTCGATTCTGGCGGTATTTCGAATAACCCCAAGTCGTACCGCTAGCCGTTTACATTCGAGTTCATAATTTTTTTTCTATAATTATAAATACTAAAGCTACAATAATGCTTTTTGTGAAAATTGTTTTCCTTACGTGGGATTAATATAAAAAACAAAAACATATAGTGATTGTTGAAGTATTTGGCTCGCAACATTCATAGAAACACAAATGTGGACCAATGAAAAACAATTAGGACGAAGAGGGCTGATGACTTCAGCCTGAACCATAGGCGGATCTAAGGGGGAGACTTTCGGACTCAAGCCACCCCAAAATGGTATGACCAAAAAAAAGGATAAAATCAAAAGATAATAAAATAATTTTTAATAAGTATAATTTTCCATAGCAATTTTTATTTGTTGGGCGCCTGGCTTAACAGCCTTTCATCTCTAAAGAGATAAATTAGAAAACATAAAGTACTTACTTACTTAACTTACGTACTTAATGGCCATCATTAAATATTTACTCTACCATGCTAGCTCAGGTGAGAAGGGGTTAGGTTGGATAATTTTTATAAAGCAGCAAAAAGGTTAACAGATCTATTTACAAAAAGAAATATTTACAGAATTAATACTATGTACAATAAAAAGAAATAAAATACAAGGAAAAAGAGGGAACTGAA